GTATACGTTGTTTCTCCGCGTAAATAATCGCGCATGTTAATGCGATCTAGCTTAACAGACTCGCAGAGCTGACTGGCGTATTTTCGTTTCGCTGTTACATGTGCGAATCGATCGCGGATAAAAGGAAGCAATGTGTCGCGTACTTTGGGACGTTTTATGGATTTCCGCTCTGTTTGTGAACTCTTTCGATTTATGTCGCGCAAATATTAAAGACAGATGTGATCCATGGCCGAATGCGCAAGCCTGTTATTGGAATTGTAAAGCATCCTCTTTTACACTCCAGAAGCTATCTATGTGCTCTTCCCAATACTTAAAAGAAATTCGAAGAGGAATGAGAGAAATCGTATCTCTAAAAGAGATATGATTTTGATGATTAAATAATTAAAACAGGAAGTGTTTTACTTTAAGAAAGATATTTTTGTGCATCAACTCAATAATAATTCAATGCTTTTACTCGATGCTATCCATTTCTATTCGTGGTGTCATAAAAGAATCATCGTTAACATAGCAACGCCTTTCTCCCTTCGACTAATCCCGCATTTAAGAGCCCTTTGCTTAGTCACGATCGGTTGATCACAGCTCACCCGCACACGCGTGGGAAGTTCCGCAATGCCTGATGAAAAGGTCAGCCATGTACTCTTATGCATGATGTAGCATACGTGACGCGGTAATGAAAGCCGCCCTCGCATCATACATAATCAAGCGATTTACGTATTCAAAGGTAGTGGCGAAAAAAAAGTCCTCAACATTTATGGCAACAGCTCTTACACAATCGACGATGCTTCGCGATTTAATTAAAAGCCGATTCATAAATACACTGAGGCTAATGCTATGATGATTTACACGTCAAGTGCAATCGTAAGTATCACAATGTGATCGCGCAAGAATATATCAACGCGATAATCTCTACTTATATTATTCTAAGAGAGAAAAGCCGGTCGTCGGGATGGCGCATCTAAACCGTCTAACAACACGAGATGAAAACAATAGTCTATTCTGAGAGAGCATCGCTTTCATAGTTTTAAAAAAATTACGCTGCATTTTTCTTCTGTCTAATTACGCGCATCCTGGTCACCGCGTTCGCACGATTAAACCCGATTGTTCGTTGCAATATTTTTGTAACATACTTTCTAGCATGGAGAGATCTCGTTTTATATGCCGGAGATGAATTACCGCGATCTAAATGTACTAAGTAAATTTTCTTACACCATTAAATGCGTCATATACAAATATCCAAGGATAGAAACTTTCTCTCTCCTCAAAAGCTATCATCTTGTACGAAGTATCTCCGTAATCCAACCAATTTATGCATTCCAAGAACGTGAAGTTGGAAGTAATCACATTTTTGAATTCATATTTTCAGTCGAATCAATCTACAAAGTCGCCTACTCTCCTAGAATTTTAAAGTTATTAAACATAAATTACAATATGGATTCAATTAGCTTGAATCTTGGAGAAATATAGAAAAATAAGATGCTTTTTAGAAAATTCATTGTATCATGTCATAAGATCCTCGACAGTTTTGTACAAGAGAGAAACAGAAAAAGTCTATGGTTTTCAAAAATTCATATGCTTTTCAAGATATTCCGAGTTTGGTGCAAAGTGCAAAACGACGGAAACAATTTTGAACCGCTTTGAACAAATCATTTTCGTTCGTTCGGATGAGAGCTTTTCCCGACTGAATGCCGCCTAAGCATCTGGTTCTCATCCGGCAACGTAAATATTTTTATTGGCAAATCGCAAATTGCGAATCCAAAAAAATCGAATCGCAAACGAAGAGAAGATGCATACATCCAATCGTGCTTCCCGAACAAAATTCAAGGATCCTTTTATCGATGGCAAATACGGATCCACGTGTACTTTATTTTTTTCTGTCACGTGAGAGAATAATGACCGCGGGCGAGGTCAGAAACCCTCGAAACTCCTCATTTATCGCGGCAGCATTCGTATTCTATTCTCGGCGTTGTGTACAAAGAGTTTGGGATTTATAATTAGAAAAGTCCAAGGGAGACAGACAGAAAGAGAAAATCAGAGTACCGAGGGAGCAAGTCGATTCTATTTTTGGAACGTGATGTGCACAACAAGTCCGAAGTTTATGAGCGTTTGTAAAAGAAAATCACGAACGGTTTTACTCGATGATCGTCCGACAAAGTTCGCGAGGTAAATGACTTCGAAACTGCCAATTGTACGGCGTATTCTATTATGAGCGCCAACCCCGACAATCTCGGTTTTACGACTTCCGATTTAGCAGCGAGACCCACGCCTCTCGCAAGATTGTCCTGGCAGCCGGAGAGTTCGCGTGCGAGAATCGGGCTGGACGAGGCGAGGGGAGATGGGCGGCGAACAACGAAACGATTTTGTACGAAATTAATAGATTCTTGTCATAAATAATTCGGGATTTACGCGCCGCGTCTACTTTGTGCGCAAATCCCCTGCCAAAGTCTACCTTTATCACGCTCTTCAAGTTACGCTCGTTTTTCAGCTTGTGTGCCCAACCGGAAGATCGTTCATGCTGTTCTTAAGACATAAAATTGCAAGGACCACCCACGCACGTTGCATTGTACGTCATGCGTGTATATCTCGTCTACGTATCTTTCACGCGTTTTTCTCCAGTCGCTGCGAATATTGCGAAAGGCGCAGTCCCGTCACAGATAGCTGACGTTCTGTCAATTATCATTAGCATTGTATTCCAGCGTGTTCCTAATTGCATACTCTAGACTGTAGAGACTGCATTGTATTCGAGCCGCGCCAAAACGAAGTGCGACTTCGCGAGAAAACATCGCAATTTATATTGTACGCCATGATACTTCACGCTCTGACTGAATTAATCGAATTATCCTTGTGGATAATTTATAAGTCTTGCCGCGTCTTTTGGCAACGGCTTGACCAGATCATCAAAAGTTTTCATCACGATCACGCTGGCATTTTCGTGAAAATTTCTGAGAATAACCTTTATTTCGCTTTTCGCACTCACGGCCAATAACAAGCCGCTTCCAAAATATAATCAATGAAATTTCAAACGGATGTAAAATTAGTGAGGTAAGCGCAGCATCTAAGTGCGCAAGATCGAATCTCAAAAACGAGCAAGGTCGAATCTCAAAAATACAATGCATTTCGAAATGTAATGCCGATAGCATTTCAAAAATATACCGAGTTATCTGGTATTTCATAAATGATTCGCGCTAGATAATTTCAAAAATATAATGTATAAAATGTGCGATTGATTACGGTTTCACGTTGAGGCCGCATTCGTTTGATCATCGCCAGAGAAACCGAGCCAGGTGTCGATACGCCAAAAACCAAACACACATTGTTGCCTCAAGGAGAGCCGGAAAGACGAACGAAGAATATTACGTCGATGAAATTTATAGAGCCCGCGCGCGCAGAATCGAGAGTCCAAAGTTTCGAGAGCCTGAAGCCGTTAAATCTAAAACGTCGAATTGCGCTTTGACGCAAACGCAGCGCGCTTTATTCGCGCGTTAATATTTCTATAAAGTTGTTCAACAAGCTGGAGAATCAGCGACTGAATATGACGTTTTCAATTATCGACTTGGCCTCTGAATGAACAGCCGCTTTCACACTTGGAGCAGAAAAGCGAAGCGTTTAACCGAACATAAATTCGGGAGGGAACGGGCCATGGGATATCAAATCATTGAGAATTGCGCAATCATTTTTTTTTATTGCGATTTTTATTCACGTCATCTGGCACGTGGCCAGCACCTGCAACCGCGACACAAAAAGACACCGAATTCTTTTTATAGGTAACGGAAAAAGTCTCGCTGATCGAACGGACGCGAGTCCTTTCGAGTCTTCCGCTTTTATTTGGCGTCACTTTAGTTGTATTTATATCAAATATATTTTTACAATAGTCGGATGCATTCTATCAGTTTTGAAATTTCAATGCCAACATATCACGCGCGGTTGTCAACAGCCGAACTGCAACATATGCCATAAGTATCGTTGACAGTGTCAAAATGGTGCTAACAAGATCCGAAATTCGACTACTTGTTTACTGAATTCTGCATTTGGCTCACATTATTCTAAGAAGATAGAATAATGCGATGAAATATGAATATATTTGTATATTCAGGAAAGAAAAAAAGAAAGGAAAATTTAAAAAGAAGGAAAGAAAAAATATTAAAAAATACACAATAATCGAATACATGTAAATTGATCAATATGAAAATTTAAAAGAATCTGAGAATTAATAAATATATATTATAACTAAATATTTCTTATTATTTAAGATGAAAAATCCGTCAATTTCATAAAGACACGAATGTATTTCAAAATATGGACGCCTTCCTCACGTTTACAAAACGATTGCCAGAACCGCCATTATTTCGCGGAGTCGATTCACGCGAATAAACAGCCGGAAAATCTCTAAACCACTCTCGATGAATAATCGCATGCGAAAGTAGTTACTTTGTGCACTCGACTTACGCGCGCCAAGAAAGAAGACTTTTTCTTGGCCTTTCCACCCATTCTGGACTTAACCCACTAACGCTAATCCGGAAAATCTCCGAGTCGCAAGCTGACATCTTAAATCTTCCGTTCGTATATTTATGATTTATTTGACAGGCGTAAAGATACGCGATCAGCGTGATGTATGCAAGAGCAGAAATGCGCGACAAATTTTGGCAAGATCACCAGACTTATAATTACAAAAGTAAAGTCCTTAGTACTTAATTACAATGTAAAAATATACTTAAAAATTCCATCTAAGAATCTAAAAGATTCGAGATTTCTAAAAACTCTATGCATTCTAAATAATAAAAGAATTTAAAAATTATAAATTCATACATGGACATCAACAATTAAAAACATTTACAATTTAAATTGATATTTATTAATGAATGTTATTAATAATATATTGAAGAATTCGAAGAAAGAATGAAGAATTTAAATATTTAAAAATATTACACAATTTAAAAAATATATGAAACGCATACAAAAATTCATTAAGAATCTAAAATCTAATCAATTCTTTCGGATTTTACCTCTCGTTTAGTGGTTGTTGTAGTGGTTGTAGTTTTTCTGGTAGTCTTAGTAGTGGTCCTCATCGTGCTGAGATTCTCATAAGGAGAATCCCAATCCTGGAAGACCTCCGTGGTCGCCATGATTATTGCGATATCTCGCTTCGCACAGTTTAAATATCACTCCTTTCTAAATCCCTCACAAGACGGATACTTAAAAAAATCCTTACGATTATCTATCGTCGCGTCAAAAAACATTTCTGCAAGTTCGTACATAATCATAGTACCCCCAATCCTTGCTTGTTAAAAAGCAAATCGATCGTCACATGTAACGAGGGATTTAGGATTAAAATCTATCTATCTCTCTCTCCAATCCGAAACGTCGACATAAAATTTTGACACTCTTAATATCAAGAAGCAGCTTTAATAAGCCAAAAAATGTCACGCGATCTTTGATGAAATTATGGCGGACATTTTAATATCGTTAACGAAAAATAAATTCATTTTAAACGAAAAGAAAAAAATTGCAACGGATGCAATTAATCGATCCGAGCTCTTTCGTTCTTTCGATATCTGCGTGATCGCTTCATGGACGAGCTAGATGGCCGTAAATGGATGCTGCGATCGAAGAGGCAAAATACAATCTTAATTCGCGCTGAGAGACTTGTCTCTCGGATAATGCGTTGCGAGATAACTCGAAATATGCGCGATTCTCGAGATGGACCACGCACGACTGAAGTCGGGAAACGCGTTTCCACTTTGCCGCGAGCGGGCCGCACCGCGCCCCGTCCGCAGACCGCTTCCAGAAATACGGAGAAACACGTATAATTAGGCCGCCACCCGCTGACGACGATGACGACGCACGGGAAAAAGCGCATTGTACGAAATACCGAGGCGATTCTTTTGTTAGTTGGTTCTTAATTTTTTTAATCGATAACTTGTCTTTAAAATCGATACTCTTCGAAACATCACTAATAATATCTTAATAATAAAAAGCTGTACTTTTAGATTTTTGAATCTCTTTTAGAAAGATATCATTAAAATTATAGACCATTAGATGCTTAAGAAATCGATAAACAATTTTTCGATTAATTTCCTGATATATTCAAAAAGCGAAGAATTCTATTGTGCATCTTGTAGGTGATTTGACGATTTTGCAATGTTTTATACACGGCCCGTATCTGCATAGATAATTTGTCCTCTACCGCCCTCCTAAAATTTTTCGCACATAGGAAGTAGAATAAAGCAACTTGTCGTTTACCGCGCGATTGTTTATTTTTCTTAAAAATAAGTGTCGCAAACAGAAGAGACTAAGAGTACCTAAACGACGAGAATATCGCGCTTGTACAAATCTTTACGATATGCAAGTCTTGGGAACATTGATCCCACGTGCAATCTTTTGATTTCATCAGTCGCATACCTGAATATTGCGGAACAAATCTAGATGTTACATATCGCTACTGCAGAAGCAATAATATCCGCGGAAAATAATTTGTTTCGTCTGCGGAGATGTCGACAACATACATGATGGGAGTTGCGTAAAACAGATTGCGAAAGGTTGTGAAGATCTCTCTCTCCCTCTTTTCTCTCCGATGAGCCAGCCCGCGAATTTCACGGTACGAAATAACGGAAGCAATGTTTTCGCTCAAACGAGATAAACCGATGATGTATCCTCGGCCGCGATAATTTTCTCCGTCGTATCCATGCAAATCCTTTTTGTTAAATCGCCCGGAATTTCTCTTTGGCAATGTTCGAGCGCGATGATATGCGTACTGCGACAGTCGCTGCATTTGATGCATAATTCAGTATTTAGCGCGAACACACGTAAAATTGGATCACTTGATGATATTCGTATGTTGGTCGAGTTATTTAAATACAAAAATGATAAATGTGAAAATAATAAGAGACTATAATTCGAGGAATATTTTTTGAATTACGCGAAATAACTTGACGGCGCAAAAACTATTTGATTTTATTTTATTATATCGAGTTTTCCAACTTGTTTGATTAATTAATTTGTCTTTCTCATTTTTATGCGTTACAAAATCTATAAACTTAAATATATAAACAAATCTCCTCAATCCAAATATAAAGTAAAACAATTATTTTCTGTTATTTTATATAAGAAATAACATTCATATTAATACACAAAAGTTACAGACTTCAATTTTAATTTTTTTAAGTTTATAATTAGCAATAAAAAGATGCAAAATATCTATATTAATTTATATTTTTTATATTTAAAAAGGATGAAAATTATATTATTTTTAATAAAATCTGAATTAACTATTATGTTATAGATGATCAATGATGACGAACTCTTTATTTCAACGTGAAATTATTTATAAAAATTATATTTATCAAATAGATGGCGGCAGCCATTTGTAAGCTTTCGCGCGAGCTTAAAAGCTGTCCGTGCGAAAACTCTTCCGGAAGAACCGTTAGATGGTGCAAAAGCTTGCCAAGCCCCTATTGCTAGTACAAAGAAGACACTGTGCTCGATTTTACCCTCGGTCGTCGAGCTGCCAGAAAAGCTCTTGACTTGAGAAAAGGAATTCTAGGAAATATTGATGTGCTTTGATAATATAATAACGAACTCTATCACTAAATGAATAAAACAAATAATAGACTAACAATAAATTGCACAATGGATAGCGTGAATAAAATTTTTAAATAATTGTACAAATTAAATATCTAATAAGATTGGAAATGCAAGGATTTATACGGAAAATATTCAAATATAATAGAAAAGATAATATAATAGAAAAGATTAAAAAATGTGATTCCAGTTTTAATAGGGTATACTATGTTTAATTTAGTATTTATATTTATTTCAATTTTTTTCTTTACGTCCCACATTTCCCATTGATGATATTCCACGCAAAAGTTTTATTAAACCGACATCATTTAGATACCGTACGCTATTTTCGCGCATTATGCAAATTTCTCTCACATTTGGAGAGTGTCGCAGCACACGTACAACACGAAAGTTAAATCGATCGATTCTATTTCGGAAAATAATTTATGCAAAGCGGGGATAAACGTTTTCCTCTGACGCCGCAGGGATATCACCTGCGCGATTAAAGAGCTCATTTCGCACGTCGATTGTCCGATGATCGTTCGTGCGAATTTTCAATATGCATCACATGCACGGACACAACAATCGCGGACGAGAGCGAGCAATTCCGTCCGGGTAATGGTCTCCTTTTTGCGCCGGAAAAATCAAATTACTCTCCATACTACTGCTATATATGCGATATAGCAGCATAAAATGCATACAGGATGATTAAAAATTTATAGACGTACGTTTATAGAATAAGTTTTTATATTTCGTAAGGTAATATTCTGTTTTCGATATATCTTTTTTTTTTATTTAATCAAATCGTGCAGTTTTCGATTGTCCTGTATACAAAGTTCGTGATGCGTAATTAAGATTAAATCTGACACTTCCACCAGAAAACCGCAGTCGTAAATCGACATTTACATTTCCGCGACAAGATGAAAACGGACAGAAATTATCGGCGAACTAGATGTCAAGTTATGAGCGACGAATCCACGATTGCGAATTCAAAAAGCCGCAGACCGAAAATGCGACATTAAAGCGAAAAATTAATCGCGAGATGTGACATGTATAATTGATCGGCTCATTTTAAAAATAAGTATCTCACAATCAATTATGTTTCTATGTATGAATCTAATTTTAAGAGAGTTTCTTTTTACAAAGAATTCGCGTTGCAATGTGACTCAATATTTGCAAAGATTTCGCACTTCGGATTACGAACTATAAGAAAATGTAGCTACTATTGGAGAATATATTTCAAAGCTGTTTATATACATTAGAGAAGAATGTATATATACATTAAAGAAGAATGTATATTTAAAACTTATATAAAACTGCTTATATGCAACGCTCGTTGTCTGAGTTTAACAAAAGCATCGAGTACACGTGGACAAAATTCAGAGAACTGGATGTTAATTATGGAATATAATTAATTATTTCGAAATGGACGCCGAGCAAATAGCAATCAGCGCGAGCATGTCGTTTGATATTACCAAGCGTGATACAGTGGAGGCTCCGCGCCAAAGAGATGATAAAATTTTATTATTGGCATAGAATATAATAACTCTTCCGTCTTGTCAAGCCCGAAACAATCATTTGCATTGTTATAATTACGTTCTTTATTCAAACCTATTTGCGAGCACAAATTAAAAATCCAATCATCTATTTAATGTCAATTTCATATTGTTTTATCCTTAAATACATGGAGAGTAAAGAAGAACGTATGGAAACGAAAAAAAAAACAGGTTAAAATGTAAAAAAAATGTAAAAGAACGTTAAAAATATTAAAATAGTCATTTAAAGTGTTAAATACTACAAAATTTGCTCAATAAAATATTAAAGCTATTATATCATTATTTACAAAAGTTCTACCAATATAATACATATATTTTTTAATGTATCCTGTATGAAAACGTCTTCATATTAAACTAATCTGATGAAATGATCAAAATCCAAATCGCGAATCGAATGCTGCTTTATCGAATGCTCCTGAAATCGAGAGAGGAAACTTTCCATCCACGCAGCTGTTTCAAGTGGCGTGTTATTTTTAAGTCGGATTCACCGCTCCTCCCTTCAATGCCGGGCATCCTTACGTCAGCAACAACACGATGAGTCCGAATGTTTTCTCTTCCGTTAGCGCCGAAAACCGTATATCCTATGTGAGAACGCGGACCTTCCCCAATCGACTCTCGTTTCCGTCTTGCTTAATTCTGACCTGACCTTTCTTACGTAGCACTGTCATCGATCGTCCCATTATCAGACCGGTTAACGCGCGAGATACGAAAAACACACCCCTTCGAAAAATACAGGTCGCACGGACTATGAATTATAGCAAACCTCATCGTCGACGTTCGAACTAACTTATCATTTCAATGTGTGGTAAACAAGCAAAATTATGTTAGAATAAAAAAGTATTATTGGAACGTTATAACATGTTTAATCGCGAGCCTTGAAAAATTTATATGCAGATATAAAATATATTTTTTTCATTTCGAATACGTAAAAGATTTCTAGTCTAGTTTCAAAAACAAACAGAAATTTATTATTTTTAAATCTGCGATTTTTATTAAAGCAAAAATACTAGATACATTTTTTTATATCAATAGAAATTTCGATTTTTTCTAATTTTTTGAAAAATAAATTTAATTTATAAAACGAGATGCCTCATGTGACAAAAGAGAGACAATATATGTAATCTTAAATTTATCGAGATTATCTTTGATTCAGTGAAATCTAATGTTTCTTTTGCCTTAAGATCCTTAATTCCTCTGCAAACCATATAAATAATTATTCAACGCCGCTATGCAATACTTTGTACACAAATAATGCAATGTCAGCAAATCCTCTGTATACTTTGATTGTCCGTGAGATTGGCATGATGATAAATTTGACGGCCTGAGTGAAGACAAAAATTATTCTCGATAACATATTGATTTTTTTTCAATTTTCCTGTGTCCGTGACAGACCGATGCTTTATCAAATGGAAAGTCGTGGTTTGTCATTTCCAATTAAAACACCGAATGATGCAGCGCAGTAGTAAAAAATAGCAAGCCACCTGGCTAATTAAGCTTCAATTATACCGTCTCGAGTTTTGATTATCGCGATGCCGACGCAATTTCTTGTGTACGAATCATTTAAATCCAGACACCATCGCGTCCGTGCTTCATAATCGTTC